TTTGAACCGGTCAACCAAAACTTTCTCTTCTTATCTTCCTCCTGCACATTCTTTTCCGGTCGAGTTCTTCTTTGTGGTGGCCATTTCTGACCACCGCTGCAACCACCTTCGGGAAAGGGAGTAATGGCCAGCTGGGGAGGAGAGATGCGGCTCTCCTCAACCCTGCAGGCAGTCTCTCCCTTCTTCACCACCTCTATGGGGTGGCTTAGCCCCGAAACCAGCTGGCTCGGGGCGCTCCAGCGGCGAGCACGGATTGAAGCCTCGCAGAGATGAGGTTTCAGTCTGTCGCCAAAGAAGCTCAAACCGGAAGCCCAAATTGTAACTGTTTTTTACACTTATGACAATTATGACCTCCCCATGGTCATGTGATCAAAATTTGAATACTTGGCTACTGGAATGTTTGCAGTGTCTTGGGTCATATGATCACCTTTTACAACTTTCTGACAAGCAAAATCAATGGGGAAGCCAGATTGATTTAACAATTGTGACAAGAAAGGCAGTAAAATGGGGCAAAACTTACTGCCTTGCTTAGCAACATTAATTTTGGGCTCAGTTGTGGTTGTAAGTCAAGGAGCTCTTACTAGCATTTGGAAAACCTTACAAATCTTAGATTTTCCCCAAAGGTGCACTGCTGATTTTTTTGGATGTGTGCGTGTGTGTGTGTGTGTGAAGGGAGAATGATTGAATGCCATTTTACACACAATCAAACACAGCAACTGCCTCCAACTGGATGATTTTCATGTCCATTTTTAATTGTATCTTGTCATCTTGGACATGCATATGGAATTTGTCATTGATATTAAAGCAGTAGCAATGCATAGAACAGTGTGGGGGTGCTGCTTGTGGAATGTGGCTGTATCTTTAGGCAGGAATAGGAAAACTTGCCACAGCCAACTTGATGAGGCCAACTCACCATGGCCAACTTGCTGCGGGACAAGGTAAAAATTCTATCTAATTATTTAAAATAAATAAATAAATAAAAATTTTTTGCCATCCACATTTCATTCTGTTCCTCCTTTTGTATCCTTTCTTTAATTATTCTATTCCACCATTTCTTTGATATTATTGTAACTCTTGTCCTGCAGCAAGTTGTCCTGTGGTAAGATGGCTGTAGCGAGTTGTTCAGCAGCAAGTTGGCCCCAGGCATATTTCTCTGATTCTTCTCTTTAATTGGTGCAATTACTTTTATTTATTTATTTATTTATTGAATTTTTATGCTGCCCATCTCCTTCTGTAAAGTGACTTTGGAAAGTTTATAGAGGTTATAAAACAAACAGAAAAATAATTAAAATATTGAAACTATGCAAATTAAAAATGGAAGAGATGGACTTCATGGGGATGAGGTCTTCTAACCTGTCAACAAGGGTGGGCTGCAGGGGGTTCGCAGGGGTTCAGGAAAGCCTAGCTAAGATTCTATGCAGTTTGGAGAACCCCCAAATCCCATTCCTAGATGGGTCCGCCCACCTACCCCGCCCCTCCCAGGAGTCGCCACATAGCAGGGCACGTGCGGAGGCTTGGGGAGGACAAAAAACAGGCCTCCCGGAAGTTCAAGAAGGCCAGAAATGGGCCTGTTTCTGGCTTCCAGAGAGCCTCTGGAGCCAGGGAGGCCGTTTTCGCCCTCCTGGAGGCTCGAAGAAAGCTGTGGTGCAGGACGGCGACTAGGCCATGCCCACCATGGCACCTCCCACTCAACTACCAGGCACAGAACCCCTTGCTAAAAATTTTGAAGCCCACCCCTGCCTGTCAACCACCTCCAGCGATGAGTTTGATGCTTTTGAAATTATATTGCTTTTTGCATTTTGATCTTTTGGTTTCTCAAAAGACAACATATGTTATTGGAACTCTATCTTTCTCCACACATACTTTGAAAGAAGTATCTCTCCACACATATTTTAGCAGTAGCAGAGACTATCTCAAAGCAGAAGACAAAGCTATGGTGGGAATACCCTGAGTGGTTTTGGAAAAGAAGGTTTGTGACAACCCTAAAATTAGACCAGAACAAGAAACTAGCTCCATAGAAAGACTATAATTATACTATAATACTCTATATTATACTATAATTGAGGTAGGCGATAATAACAGAATCTTGCCATTCTACTTTTGTTTATCTTCTCTCCCTCTTATCTCATTAAACCAGCCTGAACCACTTCTAATACTATGCTCTTTGCCAAGGCCTAAGGAATGTTGTTTGACCCCAAATATTTCTCCTGAATATTTCCTTCAAGGCAATCTCCATGGATTTCTGCCTTCAGCTTTACATCCTGCAGGCTTAAAATCCTCTACAAATTATTTGCTGTAACTTTTGTAAATTATACAGGAGGAATACTTTCAAGATTCTCTAGTGATAGAAATAGAGATATTTCTAGCAATAAAAATATTTCAAGAAATCCAAGTGATTCTTGTTTCCTGACTCTTCCAGTCTCCTGCAGCTTGACTTATTTTATTGATTTATTTGATTTATTTGATTTGTCAGTCACTTACAAGATAATAGGTATAAGTATAAACATAGTTATGAATACATGAAATGGATACACATAAGAAGAATAAAAGAAACAATAGGACAGGGACGGTAGGCACGTTGGTGCGCTTATGCACACCCCCTACATACCTCTCAGGAAAGGGATGAGGTCAATAGTAGACAGTCTAAGGTTAAAGTTTTTGGGTTTGGGGGAAGAAACCACTTTAATCTTAAAGCCTACCACAGTAACTCTTCCATACAATTATACCTGATGTAATTACCAGAGTTATTCTGAGTCAGATAACAGATAATCAGAATTGGAAGGGGCCTTGTAGGTCATCTAGTCCAGGGGTTGCCAACCTTTTGGACCTCAGGGACCACCAAATTCATAATTTTAGATCCCAGGGACCACTAATGGGTTTTGTGGGCGTGGCCAGATTTGTGGGCGTGGCTTGGTGAGCATGTGACTGGGTGGGCATGACTTGTATATTTATATAAATATTGAATTTTTTTATTAAAAAAGAGCATCTTATACCCAAAAATCAGGCAAAGCAGGCAGGCAAATTGAGTTACTCACAGAATCACAGATTCAATGAGAGATCTATCTATCTGCCATTGGCTAGCTCAGTCTGTCACATAAAATTTGCTTGCAAGCAAACTCACAAAACTAACTCACAACATACCATACATGTAAATATTGATTTTTTTATTTAAAAAAAGAGCTACTTTTACCAAAATCAGGCAAAGTAGGCAGATTGAGTTGCTCACAGAATCATTCAGTGATCTATCTATCTGCCAAATTCAATCTGCACTGAATTTGCTTGCAAGCAAACCTTCAGTCCTAAGGGAGGTTCGGCTGTGCTGAGCCGAAGATCTAAAGACTAGCTAGAAAGCAAGAAATCCAACCATTTCCTGCTTCCTAGCTAATCTAAATCTCTCAGCACAGCAGAACAGATGATGGCCAGAAAAAGGAAAAATAGCAATTTAGTAGGCAAGTTTACTGGGTAAGGAGTGAGTGGGCGGGGAGGGTTCCTGCAGGCCATATGGGCAGTGCAGCCTTGTGTTTCTGCACAGCCTGGATTAATTGCTTTGTGGGGGTGCTATGGGGTTGAGATTTCTCTGCAGCCCACCAAAATTTTCTCACGGCCCACCAATGGACCACAGCCCATCGGTTGGCGACCGCTGATCCTACACCATTTCTGGTAAATGGCAATCCAATCTCTTCCTGAATGTCTCAAGTGATGACGCTCCCACAACTTCCGAGGACAAGCTGTTCCATTGGTTGATTGTTCTCCCTGTCAGAAAGTTTCTCCTTATTTCCAGGTTAAATCTCTCCTCATTCAGTTTCCATCCATTATTCCTTGTCTGGCCTACAGGAGCTTTAGAAAATAGCTTGACCCCTTCCTCTCTGTGGCAGCCCCTCAAATATTGGAAGACTGCTATCATGTGTCCCCTGGTCCTTCTCTTCACTAGACTAGCCAAGCCCAGTTCCTGCAACCGTTCATCGTATGTTTTAGCCTCCAGTCCCCTAATCATCCTGGTTGCTCTTCTCTGTACTTTTTCTACAGTTAGTCTCAACATCTTTTTTATAATGTGGTGTACAAAACTGGATGCAGTACTCTAGGTGTGGTCTTACTAAGGCTTTATAGAGTGGTATTAGTACCTCCCTTGATCTTGCTTGTATCCTTCTCTTAATACAACTTATGACTGTGTTAACTTTTTTGGCTGCTGCTGCACACTGCTGGCTCATATTTAGCTGGTTGTCCACTAAGTCTCCAAGATCCCTCTCACAGTTACTGCTATTGAGCCTGGTTTCACCCAATCTATATGTGTACTTTTGGTTTTTCTTGCCTAAGTGTAGGACTTTACTTTTCTCTACATTGAATTTCATTTTGTTAGATACAACCCAGTGTTCTAGTCTGTCAAGATCCATCTGGATCTTGAGCCTATCTTCTTGAGTGTTAGCTATTCCTGCCAGCTTAGTATCATCTGCAAATTTGGTAAGTTCCCGTTCTATTCCCTCATCTAAGTCGTTAATGAAGATATTGAAGAGTACTGGATCTAAGACAGAACCTTGTGGCACCCCACTGCTTAATTCCCTCCATGTAGACTTAAACCCATTAAGGACTACTCGTTGAGTATGGTTTGTCAGCCAGTTGCGAGTCCATCTAGTGGTGGTGTTTTCTATTCCACTTTTTTCTTGCTTACTAAGAAGTAGGTTGTGGTCTACTTTGTCTTTTTCACACACTTTCTCCTACCTCTGCAAGAGTCCTATTTTGCTCCTTGGTTTGCTAGTTTCCCCTTTACCGTTCATGAAACAGAGGCAGTTTTCAGTCTTTTACCTTATCCAGATACTGCACACATAATGCATTGCAGAGAAAGGAATTTCTGTGGAATTAGCTCCCCCATAGACCCAGGGGGCTGAATTAACAAGGCAATACTGATATTGTTTAACAAAAATTGGAGCCAAGGTCTATGTTTCACATTTCCCTTTCATTAAATCTCATAATAAAATATCCAGAAAAGACAAGAAGAGATTTCCTTGATTAGACTAAAGACAATATTTATTGCTGATTGGATTTCTTTAAAAATCTTTAATACATTTCTAAATAAAAAAGTTAAAAAAGAAGACAAAGAAAAAGAAGAAAGAGAGAAATTAAAATTAGAACTCAAATTAATACAGTTAGGATGTCCATTACATTTATATTTGTTTTCCTTCTGCAAAGGTCAGCTTTCCACAGAAAAACTGTTACTTACATTTGACACATTTAGGTTTAGTAAAATTTATTTCCTGTGTTGAGATTAAAACTTTGTACAATAGTTTTTGCTTAAGTACAGTAATAGGGATCAGCAACTGGATTACTAAGTGACACAGTTGTAAATGTGTTGTTATGCAGGTGTATTGACTTGTGATAGCAGTTGCAGAGATTCTGGTTGCCACTGTAAAATGAATTCTGCTCAATTGTTATGTGCAACATCACTTGATCATTATTTGTAATTACCTGGTGGCTTCCCTTCTTTTCCCTCTATCTGTGTTGGTGAATAGGTGTGAATTTCCTGTTACTAGCAATCATTCAGATTGACAGCAGGCAGTCAATTAATTTTCTGTTAGGATTTATGATTAAGATTTCAGTGAACAATACATAATTACATTTCAAATTGATTTCAGTATATAATAATATACATAAATACACATAAATCTCTCTCTGTGTGTGTGTGTGTGTGAATAAACACACACAAACATATACGTACGCTCGAAGAATTGGTGTGAAGTTGATTTCTATATAATAAAAGGTCGCATTTTAGATTTCTTTCTATCATCTATCAAGTTGTCTTATATTTCTAAAATATTTTGTCATCAATATGAATAAAAGTGACTGTGCTATCAGCAGGTTTAAGCAATGCAGTGTAGCCATTTATACCTTAGAAATTTATAGAAATTTTGCCAGAAAACTCTTGAAATAATTTATATTCCCCTTTCATATAGAGATTACATAAAAATCATACATTTATTACAAGTAAATAGAATGCCTTGTTTCTGAGAATAGAATCATCTAAGAATGATAGCTGTTAGCTTTTTTTCCTTTTTTTCCTTCATGCCTTGCAGTAACGATCATAGTTTATCCGTTCTCCCACTTTGGTTCCTTCTAAGCGCTCTTTAAATACTGTGTCCATCTCCTTGTTGTTTGCTTCACTAAAAAGTGTTTTCCAGTCACTTACTCCACCTGAAAACAAACAATTATTTTCCTTTTCTTATATGAAAACCACACATCTTGTAATGTCAATAAGAATTTGCCTAAAGCCTGCAATACTACTGAATACTCAGAGAAATAAATAATAATTATATGTTTTACAAATGCTCTTTTCAAATGCTCCATATACCTTTCTGGGTATATTTCCATCCATCCATCCATCCATCCATCCATCCATCCATCCATCCATCCATCCATTTTATATATAGCTGCACAGCTCAGAGTCCATTGCAAATATATACTATTGATTTATTAAACAGATGGAAATGGATGCTGTTTGTACTTATTTATTTTGTGGATGTTTTATTGTTTTTATGTTTTTAAATTGTTTTATTTATAGTTTTACAAATGGTTATGTCACTAATTAATCTTTAACTACTTGGTTGAGTTTGGAAACGCTAGAAATTGAATGAATGAATGAACGAATGAATGGAGGGATGGAGGGATGGATTAAAGAATGAATGAATGAATGAGAATGTCCCTATATATTAATTGTATTTCAATTAGCCAGAACAGCAGGTTAAAACAGATCATGTAAAATAAGCATTGTACAACTATTATTTCTCTCTCCCTCTTTAAAAAATGAACAATCATGGACATAGGATTCTTGAGGTTGGAAGTTTACTCATCATCAAATCATTACAGACAGATTAAACTCTAGCATGGCTAACCAGATTTATAAAGATTATGCTTCTCACATTTTGTGTCCACTTCCATTTAAAAATAATAACAATAATAACAGTACATTTATTTTTCTATATTGTAAACAAAGCATTAAGTTTCCTTTAAGTTAATAGATTTGATCATGCATTTTGTGATGGCTGCTGCATTCCTGTATCTTTTTTTTTTTTTTAATGAAAATGCTCAAAAGCAAATTAGTTAGAATTTCATATGATTTCCCCAAACTATGGAATGGGGATGAATAATTAACTCTCACTAAAATAAGATATCATATTTACCAGTTGCCTCAATGATGTAACACGTGCAACATTATGGATTTTCAAAATTTACCTTTCCGGAAAAGAACTTCACCAAATTCTCCATGAGTGGTTTTAGATTTTTCTTTCATCGCTTTGAATGTGCTCCTTTCTGCAGTACCCTGAAAGTCTTCCTCATTTAAGTTCAATTCAAGAAATGTGGAAATCTTTTTGGCTCCTAAAGCTGGGTTCTGAAAAAGAGATCAATTTGTACTGCTGGTGAAAAAAAATTCATTTATTTAATGTCCCATTTCTAAGAAAGATATCTGACCAACTTTGGGAAGGGAATGATGCACTATATTTGCATCACTTTCATGTCTAAGGTTCCCTCTGGTTTTCTCATCCTAAATGCTATGGCTACATTCTGCATGGTTTCAGTTATAATCAGAACATTCTACATGAATATATAAATATATGCATAAACACACGCACACAAAATTATAGGGAGCAAATATAATTTCCCCAAGCTCAATTTGATCTCACTTCATGGTGATGGATGTTGCTTTATGCTGTGGTTGGCTGGTTGGCACTGTTATCTCTACTTGTTCCCCAGAGCAACAATATTTATTTGGGGTAAAAGCAGAAAACACTGCTTATTCCTTATTTCCTTAACTAAAAATCATATGTGCTGCATGATGGAGGATCGTGGGTCTGAAACTCCCATCTTTCTTTCTCCAAGACTTTCTATTCATTGCTGTTTATGACTATCAGAATCAATATATCTGAACAGTATTAACTGTACCTCTTTTATCTCTTCATATGTTATTGGCAGGACATTTTCTTTATCAATATACTTGTTCCATGTACAAAGATACTCTATATAGGATCCCCATGGCACTAGTGAAATTTAAAAAAAATAATTAAGATCACGTCAGAACAAGATTGATAACAGAGATAAATATGTATGTAATTTATTCAAAATTTAAGCTGATCTCTGAATATCATCTCTATAGAGTTTGTTTTTTTCCAATACTTTTTCTGTTCTAATGTCCCTGAGTTCTAATGTCCCATTATCTAGAAAAAATACCCTTTTCTTTTTAATTATGTGTGATACATTGTGTTTTAGTTAGTAATCAATTTATACATGAAAATCACATAAAGTTAACATCAGTGGTGTTTAATTTTGTGATCATACCACAATTAGGAAACTCAGAAATTATAGTTTTGCATAGATTCCAATGTATTGTAATACTTACTCAGTTCTGACATGGTATATAATTTGAGCATAAACAAGCAATATAAGTTAACTGGAAAATTGATATGATGATTATTATTATTCCAAACCTTCCATTTAAATAACAATCTCGAGATATAGTAGCTTTTTTTTTGCTAAATATTTGTAACTGGAATTAAGCCAAAGTTATAAATATGTATTTTTCTTTTTCTTTCATTTGGCCTATATATAACAATGACTTTACATGAAATTACATTAGTTGCCAAGGTTAAAATGAAATAGCTGAATTACAATTTTGGAAATAACAGTAGCAATAGTACTTAGACTTCTATACCGGTTCATAGTGCTTTACAACACTCTTTAAGTGGTTTACAGAGTCAGCATATTTCCCCCAACAATCTGAGTTCTCATTTTACCAACTTTGGAAGGATGGAAGGCTGAGTCAACCTTAAACTGGTCAGGATCAAACTGCTGGCAGTGAGCAGTAAGTTAGCCTGCAATACTGCATTCTAACCACTGCATCACCGTGGCTCATCTACTTCTCTGGGCCTCTCAAATGGGAAAAGGCCAGCATACAGAATGAATGAATGAATGAATGAACATATTTTTCTGCTATTCTATTAGTTGGATTTATATTCTACCTTTTGTGCAGAAACTCAAGGCTGCATGCTTAGCACGCCTTCTTATTTTTCCCTACAATAACAACCCTGGGAAGGAGACTGGACTGTGGCAATGAGAAATATTTGCTTTCAAATATTATTTCTTCTGATATCAGAAAAGGAATCCATTCATAGGATTAACTAAGATTTATTGAAATAAGCTGAGAACCTAAACCTGAATTTTAAGGGTCTCTGCTTGAACAAAGCATGCACTAATCAATAAAAAATAATGATCAAGATAGACAGTTATTATGTTCTCCATATCTACAGACATTAAACAATAGGAATGAATAGAAATTCTACTTTTTCCTATCATTAAAGCTCGGAAGAATTCTTCAAATGTATCATAGGGAGGATAAGGACTGAAGTTGTTTGAAAAATGGAAAAAAGATGCAGCAACATCTTTTGGATTTCGAATCAGCAGCAGTACCTAAAAATCAAAAAAACATTAGAATAACAAATGAGAAAGCATAGATTATATCTCTAAAATGCACCAGTTTATCCCAAACTACCTTTTATGACTGAAATCTTATGTGCACTTGCCTGGGTGAATACCTGAATCACATCCAGTTCCTAGTATTTTACTGTATATTAATGCAAAGATATTAGGGAACAGAATGGTCCAGTGAGACAATATATTGCCAGATTAGGTGGGTGGGTGGCAGGATTGGAAGTTTTTGAAAGTAGCTTGTCACCTTCTTATTGGGGCTGACCGGCCCAAAGTCACCCAACTAGTTTTATATTTAATTTAATGAAATGAAATATAGTGTTGGGGGAGGTGGACGAAGGGAGGCTCTGCCAATCTCATTGTACACAGTGGTACTGTGACAATAAAGATAATAATTTTTTTTAGCCCTATACCTTAACTACTACTCCAAACTGACTATCTAGATTAGTATAGAATCTCCATTTCAAATCTATTTACAGTTACTTCCTCAAATGATGTCTCTGAACTACTAAAGGGCAGAGCTTTAATTTGGAAACAGTCATCTCCTGAAAATGCAATTAAGTTGCTCTACAGTAATTACAATTATCCAAATTTAAAGGACTTATCAATAAATAGCTATAGTAAACAGAGCTATTTATTATTATGGTGCATAATGATTATTATATTAAGTGTGGTCTTGGTTATTTTTTTCTTAATTGTTTTATTGTTCAAGACTAACTTTATCCATAAAGAAATACTCATTGAATTTTATCAGTATTGTTACAATTTTAGGGCATTAAATCAGCTACTTACTTTGGCTTTGTTCTTGAAAATAGATGGTGGAAATCTATCAGGACGGAGATGAGTATATATCACTCTCCTGGAAGGATAAGTATCCATCCTCTTCAATAAATAAATAAATAAAATAAATAAATAATCAGCTCCCAGGATTCCCCAGCCAGCATGAGAAACACCAGATTGGACAATTCAGGTCCAAAATCTCCAGTTTTCCCACTTAATTTTACAACCGAGAGTAACACATTACTGGTCAGTGGATTGGTTAATATGTCAATCAAGGTCAATTTTACCTCTTCAAAGACAGAATCAACCTGGCTGTCTCTGATCAAACATAGTCTGACTGACTTTACTCTAGGGAGAATCTGCATACTCAATATTTTACCTCCTTTGCTCTTTTAATCTCATGAAAATTGACCATGACTGAGTAGGCAGGATTTGTCAGTCTGCATAATTAATACTAACCTTATACTTTTCAGTATCTCCTATTTCAATATAGGGAATTTCTGCTAGGAGAAGTTTTTCATTCAACTTCTCTGGTTCATATTTCTTTGCAGATGTTATTACTAAATCAGTAACAATCTGGCCAACCCAGTTGGTACCTGAAAGGGGAAAAAACAAAATTAAATACACTTATACTATGTACTTGTATAGTAAAAGCATAAAACCAGTACCAATCAATTTACAATTGAAAGCCTGTGAAAAACTGTAGGAACCGAAGACAACGTTTGGCATGCATTTTATAGCCCAGAACTCACATAGCACTTTTCTGTTTGTCAGATAGTGGGCCTCTGACAATCTTCAGAAAGGTTTCTTTTTTTACTTTAACACCTGAACAGATCTATACTGGGAGAGATCTTCCCTCTTAGGCCTCAATGCTAACCAGAGGTAGGATTCAAATTTTTTAACAACCAGTTCTGTGGCATGGCTTAGTTGGTGGGCGTGGCTTAGTGGTCATGTTATTGGCTGGGCATGGCCAACTCAATATCACTCACATCGAGGCATGCATCTCCTCGCCTGGCCTCTCATGACTGTGGGGATGCTGCAACAGTCGTAAGTGTGAAAAATGGTCATAAGTCACTTTTTTCAGTGCCATTGTAACTTTGAATGGTCACTCCACACAAGCAAAGTACCAGCAAAGGAGGGAAAAAAAACTCCAGAGAGGTTCCAGAGACAGGAAGTCTAGTCCTGCCAAGAATGCAATAAGGGTTAATGGAGAGGCAGTTTCTGTGAGCAACCTCAGAATGTTTCCTTCCTGCCTTCCTTACAGGATTAGGCCAGTAATTTCTTCTAACAACCGGTTCTCCAAACTGCTTAGAATGTTAACAACCGGTTCTAGCGAATAGGTGTGAACTGGTGGAATCCCACCCCTGGTGCTAACCTTTCAGCATAGGCATCACAAGATCACAATTTCTTGCAATTAAACTCCTTGTTTAGTGACTGAGTTCCATTCCAGTACACATATGACAGAGAGAGAGAGAGAGAGAGAGAGAGAGAGAGACTTGCCATCTTATTCAGATAAAGTTCTCTTATACAGCTCCACCAATGTTATTCTCACTCCAGCATGCGTTGTTGCCAGGTGCATATTATTTGATTGTAAGTGCATGCATTGGTTGTAAAAATAAATTTAGCATTTACTATTTATTGCCACAATATTTACAAATAGACATGAGAGTTGGAAAAAAAAACTCAAGAGAATTGGAAAAAAAGGAGAAGCTTTATTAAGCTTACCTAACCACTACACTTTTCACCAATTGCACTTTCCAAATGCTTTTATAAAGTATCACCTCTCTACAATGCATTGGAGTAATCAAAACAGGAAATAACCAAGGCATGAATAATTGTTGCCAAATTTCCCTGGCTTTTAAAAGATGATGGTATATGTCCACATAATGCCAACTGTCATAGAATCACAAGCAATTGGGCTTTCTGTATGACTTTTGTGTTTATTAAACACTGCTTATTAAAAATGAATTTATCAAGCCTGCATAAATAATGCCAACCTTACATGTTTCAGTATCTCCTATTTCAAGATATGGAAGTTATGCTAGAAGAAGCTTAGAACTCAGAACTCTCAAAAAACTAATTTTGCAGACTGAGCACTAGAGATCAAAGAAATCATTGAAATAAAACACTTCTGCTTTGACAGAGTGGACACGTCTCTTGCAAGGCAGTCATTTCTCAAGGTTATTTTGAAAATGGTTCTTAATTGCTTCTGCTAGGATGTAGCAACTTGCCAAATATATTTAAAAAATAAAATTTTAAATAATAGTATTAGACACCCACTATAATTTTTTTTCCCAACGGCACACTATGATCACAAATCCTCAAATGACAAAAGAGGTTTTAGTTTCTGTTGGACAACAGCACAAGGTGAATGCAGCTGAAAAAAAAATGAATAAGGCTGATGGAACGTTGGCTGGCTGGAACATGTTCCTTTTTCTGAGGTGGAAGCAATCCCGTGCAATGAATAGTTATGTAACAGGACACTGGATATTAGTGGTGTAAAGTTATTTCTCAAATTAATGCTGGGTGTTCAACGCCTGCATAGGAGGACAATATTCCTTAAGGGTAGGATGAGCAACATTTTCATGAGCAATGTCCCGTTTAACATTTCTAAAGGGCAGAGGAACACCAAAGTCAGATTTATCATGGAATTTGTAGGAACATCCTTGCTTTAAACTGATGTGCTGTATACCTACTTCAATCATACTTTTAATCTATTCCCCACCTCTAAATGACAGGAAACAGTACTCTTAAAAAGGGCTCTGAAGATGTCTAAAAGAGGACTCAGTGATGTAGCATTTATTTATTTGTTTGTTTGTTTGATTGATTGATTTGATTTGTCATTTGCTTACAAGATAATAGGTATAAGTATAATCATGAGTAAGAATACAGGAAATAGGTATGAATAAATGGGGACAATAGGACAGGGACGGTAGGCAGGATTGTGCACTTATGCACGCCCCTTAAATTTTTTTTGTGTTGCTTGCACAATCATTATCTGATTGTGTCCTTGTTTATTTTTTTTATTTATTTGATGTGCTTTAGCTTGCTCCTTCCTGCTTTACGCTGAGGTTCAATGAGAAGGCCTGGATACATCAATGATGCCATTAAGATGGCACTTGGAAAGCAAAGCAGAAAATAAAAATAGATCATCATTTCTGTTTACCTTACACAGGTAAGGTGTAAGCTACATCAGGTAAAAGATAAAGACCTTCAGGTTTAGAACTGCTAGTGTCGTTAAACTTTTGTAGCTAAAATGTTAGCAATATAGAATCATAACAAGTGTGGCTTATATTCAATTGATCAATTTGAAATCTGTTGTACACGACATGGTTTCTCTCTATAGACGTAATGATAGTTTTGTTTCCACAGTGCAACTTCAGAGATTAAATAGATAATATTGAGGCCCAAAATTGCTCAGGTAATGGCAGAAAACAGGAAACTACAGATATGCAAAGATGTGTTTCATATTATTCCTGAAGTTTCCATTTAAGATAACAGATAACAGATAATCAGAGTTGGAAGGGACCTTGTAGGTCATCTAGTCCAACCCCCCCACTCAAGCGGGAGACCCTACACCATTTCTGACAAATGGCAGTCCAATCTCTTCTTGAAAGTCTCAAGTGATGGCGCTCCCACAACTTCCGAGGGCAAGCTGTTCCATTGGTTAATTGTTCTCACTGTCAGAAAGTTTCTCCTGATTTCCAGGTTAAATCTCTCCTTGTTCAGTTTCCATCCATTATTCCTTGTCTGGCCTACAGGCGCTTTAGAAAATAGCTTGAGCCCTTCCTTCCTGTGGCAGCCCCTCAGATATTGGAAGACTGCTATCATGTCTTCCCTGGTCCTTCTCTTCACTAGACTAGCCAAGCCCAGTTCCTGCAACTGTTCATTGTATGTTTTAGTCTCCAGTCCCCTAATCATCCTGGTTGCTCTCTCTGTACTTTTTCTAGAGTCTCAACATCTTTTTGATAATGTGGTGAGCTAAACTGAATGCAGTACTCTAGGTGTGGTCTTACTAAGGCTTTATAGAGTGGTATTAGTACTTCCCTTGATCTTGATTGTATCCCCCTGTTAATACAATTTAGGATTGCATTAGCTTTTTTGGCTGCTGCTGCACACTGCTGGCTCATATTTAGCTGGTTGTCCACTAAGACTCCAAGATCCCTTTCACAGTTACTGCTATTGAGCCTGTCTATATGTGTACTTTTGGTTTTTCTTGCCTAAGTGTAGGACTTGACTTTTCTCTACATTGAATTTCATTTTGTTAGATATGGACCAGTGTTCTAGTCTATTAAGGTCCATCTGGATCTTGAGCCTATCTTCTTGGGTGTTAACTATTTCTGCCAGCTTAATATCATCCGCAAATTTGGTAAGTTCCCCTTCTATTCCCCCATCTAAGTCGTTAATGAATATATTGAAGAGTACTGGGCCTAAGACTGAACCTTATGGCACCCCACTGCTTACTTCCCTCCATGTAGACTTAGACCCATTAAGGACTACTCATTGACACCCTTAGCCTTGATTTACCCTATAACAGGGGTCTCCCACTTGAAACCTGGTGGACTTCAACTCCCAGAATTCCCCAGCCAGCTTTTTCATCACTATTTCACTATTTTCATCACTATTTCAAGTAAAATCTAATAGAGCATGGCCTTTTAAAAATATTTATCAAAAGCCTAGAGTCACCTTTGTAGGTATAAGAAAAACAAACACACTCACTCACCAGATTTGCAGTATCCTGCTAGAACTACATCATCATTCCTAGCTTGGAAGGCCTCCAAAGCTTTGAACTGCTCTGGGTTGCAAAAAACAGTCGGGTATACAACTCCTTCATAAGTAAGCAGCATCTCCTCTGGTGTCATCTGCTCTCCTTCTTTCATGACTTTTTCCAGAATCTCAATAAACTTTTTTCTCACATGTGCCATTTCTGCCCTTTTTGCGGGAGGGTGGGGGATGTATGGTGGATCTGTTCAAACAAACAACCCAATTTGTCTTTAAAAAACTGTATAGATAAATGTGTGTGTGTGTGTGTGTGTGTGTGTGTGTGTGTGTGTGAAAGTGTGTGCACACACACAAACACCCATATATATGATATATGAAACTATTTTAAAAATACAAGTTCCAGGTAAAACTGTGAAAAAAGAGACAGACATCCCAATCTCTGGAACTAAACATTTGTATTGTTCACTAAGCTTTTGTTAGCCTCTGCTAACATCGTCAGAGTGTAAAACAACCATTAAGGAGATATGTGCCTTGACATAAACTTCGGTTTAATTGGTTAATGTTATATATTCAGCTGTCAAAGAAAGGCAGTGATTAAAAACCTGTGTTTACAATGCAAAGGAAACTATCCAAACATAACGAAAACAGGGAAACAATTTTTCTACGATTGAAGGCTTTTCAATCACAGATACTTTCTATTAGGATAAAATTGGAAAAAACACAGTTAATGACTATGTATGTATCTATGAACACTTATTCTGCTGGAGAGTTAGGTTACCACTCTCTGCTAAAGAGTTTGCTTACTATTAGGATGATTTTGGAAAAACAGTTTTAAATTTTAAAAGATCTAATGACAATGTCCCTATAAACACTTACTCTGCTAGAGAGTTTAATCTGTTCCAGTTCCAAGTTGTAACGTTCTCTAATACAATGCTATTCGATTCGGACTGCAACAAGTAAGTACAACTAAAACAAGCAAATGTTTTTTTCCACTCTGAAAAAGAAATCATCATTTCATCTTGCTTCATTTTTTCCCTTTCATCCAGCTTTGCTTGTCTGCTCCTCTATATTTCAGCATTCTTTGAAACATATCAGAATTGCCTTACCTTCTTTCTTCCCTCTGCAGTAAGAGACAATATTTCAGATTCACTTCGGGGATATCTGCTCTGAAGACAGAAATCAATCTCGAGGAAGATCTCAGCTTTTGTCCCCCTGGCAATTTAATGAGAGGCAGCCTGCAGAAAGCTGGACAAGAACCACCTCTGTAAATAATCTCACACCCCTGCTCCCCTCCCTTGTTTCCCTTTGTATTATATTTTCTGTTTCATGTCCCTGGCTAACATATTTTTTCCCCTTTTTTACTTCTTTTCCCCCCCTCCCCCCCCCTCTCCATTTTAATTGTGAGAGTTTTTTTGACCCTCGCATTTTAGTTTTGATATTGATTGACTGAATTTGAGAGAAGTCATGCTGAAGCATTGTGTGCTTTGCTTTCCGACTAAAGAATGTTCATTTCTATTATTTTTTTAGAGCTGGTTCTGTTCATCAGCTTTGAAAATGCTTCTGCTAGTTTTATTTCTTTTTTTAAAAAAAAAAAAGATTGTTTATTTAAAACATTTATATAGCCACCCATCGTTTAAATCAAACTTTGGGCAGCTCCCAACCAATAATTAAAATAGCATCAATAGTAAAGTTAAATCATCCATCCATCCATTAAAAACGTGGATCTTATTATTTCATTGGAAGGATCTGCTCAAAGAAACAAATACGCAAATACTATGCTGCACACAGGAGCTGGTGGACATTTTATTTTATTGTTGTATGAGTGAAGTTCAGAGTTAACAAGGCTCTGAGACAGACTTCCTGATGCTTTGGATTACAACTCCCACAATCCCCATATAACTTTGTCAGCCTGCATTTTCACTTACTACCAAGAATAAACTCACACCTCATTCTTGCAACCCCAAAACATTACAGATTCTTAATCACTGTCTTACTATTCAGTTCCCACTCTAAGACATCTATATCTATCATGATTCCCTGAAAATAAGACCTAGTTTTATATTTTTTGGGTGCTCCAAAATAAGAACTTGGGCTTATTTTTAGGGAAACAACACAGGACGATCAGCCTAGCTGGATGCCCCACCCTCCGACACACACACAAAAGAGGCAGCAAGCACGAAGGCACAGACGGCATCCAGCAGCAGCTGAAGTTTGCTAGTCCCTTGGTCTGTGCACTCTGTGGCTGCACAGCCTGCGCAGTGTAGGTGACTTGATTCCCTGTCCAAGCAGCAGACAGAGGCACACAGGGGAAGGCAGGCAATCCGAACATTCATTGTGGGGCACGGGAAAGCCAAGTCAGTGGGCCAAAGTGGTTGGCCAGCCACAGGAGCTTTATCTTTGGCACTTGCAGCAGAGCTGTGGGCAGGCAATCCAAATGCACCGCATAGGCCTTAGACAAGCCAAGAGATGTGAAGACGAGCTTCCCATGGACACCCACCACTTCGGCCCACTGACTCCCAGGTTACCGTGGCCCACATGGCAGGTCTGGAGTGCATGCTCCACCCTGCCTCTGCCTCCACCTGCTACTTGAATAGGTAATCAACTCACCTGCACTGTGTGGGCTGTGGCTGCTGCTAGACACCGTCAGCCCATGTGCATTCGCCATCTCCTGTGCTGGCCATCCCACCCCCCTACACTAGGGCTTATTTTTGGGGTGGGGTTTATATTAGGTGCACGGTTAAAATTCAGTAGGTCTTATTTTCAGGGAAACACGGTGATTAGATTAATGCCAAAAAGATCTCCTGATGCAGACTCTGCCCTTTCATGCTTATGTTGCAATGTTCTGGCCAGTTATGTAAGATATGAAGCTTGCATTGCAACATCACAATTCATCTTTCACTCTTGCCTCCATTCTGCAGGCACCACATTTCTGCTCAGGGATTTTACCTTGCACTGTAATCTTTATTAGCCTCTGCTCTTCCACATGACATCAATACCAAAATAATAACACTTTTGATGTTGTATCATGTGGCCCATAAAGCTTTTTATTTTCAAAATGTATATTCCAAGACTGTGACTGTTCCTGTTGCAAGCCAAATCTACAAAATATGGCAATAACAGCACGAAGGGTCAGCAAATTACAAGATTTGTCAGTTGAGGCATTTTCTGAAAAAAGAACTTTTCTGACTTTGTTGATTTATTCAGCAGACTGTAAATGTCCTCCTTTATCTTAAGAAGACATCAGGAAAGTCGGAAGTAATGTAAACTCCCACTCATAGGCAGAGTTATTTCTTATTTTACAGGTACTCCTCAACTTACAATTATTAGTTTAATGACTGTTCAAAGTTGCAACAGTTCTGAAAAAAGTGACTTATGACTGTTTTTCACATTTATGTCCATTGCAGACTCCCTATGGTCTCCTGATCAAAATTCGGACATTTGGCAACTATCATGTAAGCAGTGGGGAACTATCAGATGATTGGAAAAGAGCTGATGTGTTTCTCATCTTCAAAAAAAAAAATGGATCCAAGAAACTACAGCTCTATCAGCCTGACATCAATATGTGGGAAGGTCCTGAAAAAGATAATCAAGCAACGAATCTGTGAACACCTAGAGCAGGGCTCCCCAAACTTGATAACTTTAAGACTTGTGGATACTGGGAGTTGAAGTCCACAAGTCTTAAAGTTACCAAGTTTGGAAACCTCTGACCTAGAGGCAAGCAACTTTATAACTAGAAGCCAACATGGCTTTGTTAAAAAAAACATATCATGCCAGACAAATCCTATTGCATTCTTAGACAACGTGACTAAATTAGTGGATCAGTGAAATGCTGTGGACATAATTTATTTGGACTTCATGAGGCACCTGATAGACTGCAACCTACTACTTAATAAAATAGAAAATGTGGATTAGACAGCATTACTCCCAGATGGATTAGTAACTGGGTGATCAACTGTACTCGACGTATAGTCTTCAATGGAACTGCATCTACATAGAGGGAAGTGTGCAGTGAGTACCTCAAGGCTCTGTCTTAGGCTGAGTACTTGCCAATATTTTTATAAATGATTTAGATGATGGGATAGAAAAGGAACTCGCCAAATTTGCAGATGACAAGCTGGCAGGAAATAGCCAACTCTCCAGAAAACAGGATCAAAATATAAGAAGATCTCAATCAAATTTCCAGGGCAAATATATTTCCAATTTGGCCAATTTGGGTTACTAGTGCTTAACACCATCTGTTGCCCACTGCATTTATTGCTACTTTTTAATGAACTGCTTGAAAATTTTCCTTGTGGTGAAGCATTCCTGTTGCTGTATTTGTTTATAACATGATTTTTTAAACATAAATAGTAAATTTGATAATCCAACCATGAGAACTATTGGAAGTTGTCCTAAACTGAATCAGATTATACAAGTCCCCATAGAGTCACAAAGAAATGTCTCCAGGCCAACCTGGAAATTGAATCTGTGACATTCTGCATTCAAAGCATATAGCATTTCAGTGGGGACTTCATGTACAAGTAATTTTTGACTTACAACCATTCATTTAGTGATTGAATACTGAAAAAAGTGACTTACAACATTTTTCACACTTACGACTGTTGCAGCATCCCCGTGGTCACATGACCAAAATTCAGACACTTGGTAACTGGCATGTATTTCATCAACCTGACTGCCACTAGCCAGATGATGAAAGCTGGTTCGCCCTCTGTGATGCACCATGGATAAGTGTGCTCAAAAACTTAAAATACCTTTATTTGATTTTGCTTAATATAAGATGTGACTGAACTTTGTCAGGCTTTTAAGGCTCAGCTATTCTACCTTATTGTAATAAAGAGTGTTTCTGAAATAACATATTATGTCTGTTTCTTAACTAATCAGCCTTGTAGGGCTGACAACTATATAAATACTGTATGTATTTTGATCTCTGAATGAAGAATAAGTAGGATCAAAAATTGGTTGTAGTTTCTAATGGTGTTTCAAATCACTCTTAAGTGTTCAATAATATAGATAATATAGATAAATATATGATAATATAGATAAAGAATATGAGGAATATTACATGAATATAAACATGGAAAATTCTAACCGAACTTAATCCTTGGGGCTATCACCATACAGTGGGGTTAGGCTATTTAAGGAAGCTTGTACCTGCCATTTTGATCTTGCATGGCACACAATGACAAAAGGGGCAGGGAAGATTACGGGTAATATACAACGAAAATCAAGAGTTTTACATCTTTTTTTTTCCCAACGGCAATATGGCCCATACGAGCATGTCTAACTCTGCTTAGCTAATTTCATGTTTATAGCTTTGTGTGGTTTTGTACAGAAAGAAAGGATGTTGCCATGAATAATGATGCCCTTTCTGGGACATCATTGTATCAGTGTTGGCTGAGGGTAAGGGAAGACAGAAGTATAAAAAAAATAATTCTTTTTCCCTGAGAGAAAATATATTTACAAAACATCATTTAGATCTTAGAAATTAAATTATTTAATAATAAGGCTTTGTGTAACATTAGGATGCTTTTGCCCAGGCATGTTGTGAAGCACTTGAGATAGCTATCATAATGCAGAAAATTATTAGTGATTTTGGCACATTCCCAAGTGATAAGAATCAGCTGAAACTATGAGCCAAAGAAACAGAGAAGTTCATAGAGAAAACTTCTCCTCCAAGCCTGGACAAAAATATAGGAATTTTCTTTACAAGGTCTTGCATGTTTAACATTGGTAGGTGGTTCCCATGCATTATGAAACTGAAGGTGGGACATAAAATGTTGCAGGCTGGACTTCCTTTCCAGATAATTGTGAGCATGTAGTTAGAATGCCTCTGCGCCTGCGCAAAGTATGCATTTGGCACGCATGTGCACACAAAGTGTGTGCACACGTGCAAAGTGCGCCCACCAAGCCACGCCCACCGAACCAGTGGCAACAATTTTTGAATCCCACCACTGGTTCTCAGCCATGTCATTGTCTCTGCTCCTACTGAGATGTCTATTGCCTGAAGTTCATGAAGACAGTGACCAATGGCCGAGGCACAATGTTGTACCTACAACTTCAGTTGCAAAATAGAACTTTCTTTTAGTTCTTTATGTGCATCAAGGATTGTTGTAGGACAATACTTTGGTATCTCAGATATTTCCAATTTCTAGTACAGATTTGAAAATCACTCTCCTAGGCATATTACTGGAATGCAACCAGCATGTTCTCTGAAGAAAAGAAAAGATATTTGGTATCAGTCATATACCTTTGGCAGAAATCTGAT